GGGTGGGAGGCAGGGGACCAGACTTCTCTCCAACCCCGAGATGTCCATTCAAAATTTGGGTTTGACTTGTTCAGCCCCCAGAATTTTGGGGTGTCTTTGTTAAGCAAACCTACACAAGTGTTGGGTGAGCACAATGTATTGAGGGTTTGGATCTCTCTCACTGGGGTTCTCAACAGTTCCGGGAACGGAGGGCCTTAACTCTTTAGAGACCAGCAAATGGCAACAGGACGGGAGCCTTGGTCTGCTGACTGTGGCTGTAGTCAGACGCTGCCCTGGGGGAGCTTGAGAAGGAATTCCTGACGCAGGTCGGGTAGATGGACCCAGCACCCTCCAAAACGAAGAGAATTCCAGGCCACTAGCTTCAAACCACACAGGGTCTGTGAGCAGTTTCTTTCAATCCCCTGGTCTGTATGACTTGACCTGAAAAACCAAGCTTTGGGTTGGAGGCCTGGCCCACAGCCAGGGAGGGCTAAGTTGTTTCCTTTAACAAAGGCCTACAGCTCCCCATCCTGGGTGGGCTTTGGGCCAAGGCTGTGTGCCTCCAGCCAGCTCCCTGGGGCTGCCACCTGAACTATGGCTCCGAGCCTTGCTGTCCGTGCTCCCAGGTTTAGCATGTCAGGATGGTCCCCTGGTCATGGGTCTAGCTCTTGAGGTGCTAGTGGCAAGGCTGAGCCTGGGGTCTGGTTCTGGAGGTGGCTGCAGGGTTACAGAGCTGGAGTCCTGAGTTTTATCTCTGGCTTTCCTGATGGCACCAGGTTTGATTGGCCATATCCAGCATGGCCACTCACCCAGAGAGACCTGGGTTTAATTCCTACAGTGACCAGTTAGCTGTGTGTACATGGGCAGATTGCTTAATCATTCGGTGGTGCCTCAGTTTACTTCCTTGCAAAGCAGGGAAAATATCACCCTCTGTGATGAGGAGGGGAGACCATGAAGAGCACTTGTCACCATGGGAATGAGTTAATGGGAGCCATTATTGTTACCAGCCTTCTGTTCCCTGCAGGAGACAGCAATTGGTACCCAGGCCCTCTTCCCTCCTGGGAGAGCCCCAGACAGCTCCCTGGGGTCCCCAGGCTGGGCTCTCTGAAAGGGTGGATGAGCAGAGAAGCCATTTCCAGGGCAGCAAGCCTCCCAGGGAGTGCTCGGGCCCCATCTCCTCCAGCCCCCAGCTGCCACGGGCCGTAACTCTGGGCTACAGCCCTCGGGGGAGCTGTGAAAGCTTCAGCTTTTACCTCCATCTCGTGCACTCCAGGCCCTCAGGACCCACCCCAGGACCTGCAGAGGGACGGATAAGACAGGCCTGGCCCCCACCCTCCGCCAGGAAGGAGGGTAGGCAAGTTTGCAGAAAGAATGCCCTGGAGGCTGGGGCTGTAGCTGGAGCTCAGCATTAGAGCATTGCCTAGCAAGAAGGAGACTCTGGGTCGATTCCCAGTGCCACCAAAACAAAACAAAACCAACACAGCAGAGGAAAGAGTGGCATGCTTTCCGTCTGAGGCACCCTCCGCTGAACCCTCAGGGTGATCCCAACAGCCCAGTCTGAGACACTGCAGACTGGCCTTGGTGGCTTCTCCTCCCTCTGCCGCTTCCCTTCCCCTCACTCCACATCCAGAGGGTGCCATGACCACTCCCATCTCTCTGATGTCCCAGCTGCCCGTGGCCTTCATCCTCCTGCCCCCTTGAAGCTCCTGTGAACCCTGTGATCTCTCTAGACCCTGCCCCTGCTCTGGTCCCTCCCTGGTCACCCTGGTCACTCCTCTGCTGGCAGTCCTTTCTCTAAGGATGAAGGTCAACCCAGCCTGACCTTGAGGCCTTCCTCACTGTCCCACCTGCTCTCCCCAGTGTGTCCCTCACAGGGCTCCTTCCCTCCCTGCTCACATCATCCTCTTCCTGCACCAGACTTCTCTGGAGCCCAAGCAGCCCTCCCGACACGCCGCTGTTCCCCTGCCCGCAGTGCTGTCCTGCCCGGTCCCCCTGCCATTCCCATTTGTTTTCAATGGTTTGACGCCTGACTCTAAGTCAGGGAGGCAATTCAAAATTCCCTGTTCACATTTTTCTGGAAGTGGGTCAATTTTACATCTCAGTGTTTAAACTACTGCATAAAAATCACTTTCATAAATCACAAAAATAAAAAAGCTAATTCTGGTATTCTTATTCTTTTAAATCCCCCTTTAAAAGTTTCCTTCACTATGAGGTTTTCAGACATCCACAGGAAGATGAGCAGCTTCTTCTGGCTGCACCTCTTTTGCTGTGACTTGTGGATGCTGGGGAGGCAGGGGCCACCTGTCCCTGGTCTGTATATTCCTGTGGCAACTCTAACACCACATGAAGGCCACAGCTGATTTCTTTCCAGGCACAGTGGCACACTCCTGTAATCCCAGTGACTTGGGAGGACAAAGGAGGAGGATCTCAATTTTGAGGCCACCCTCAGCAACTTAGTGAAGCTGTAAACAACGTAGTGACACAGTGTCTCAAAATAAAAAATAAAAAGGGCTGGGGGTGTAACTTAGTAGTTAAAGCATCCCTGGGTTCAATCCCCAGAGCATAAGTGCGTGCATACACAACTACACACACACACACACACACACACACACACGCTGATTTCTTGGGGCGTTCACAAGTTGCTGTGAGACAAAACCCTGCCAGAGCATTCACTGCTGACTTTACATGGCTCTAGAGCTGCCATGGGAGTAGATGAAGACCAGGGACAGAGATGACGCTGCTTTCTGCCTTTCCTGTGGTTCTTCCCTGGAGTAGAAGTCCACAGCAGAGGTGAGTGCTGGCCAGTGGCTGGGGCTTGCCGTGCCCCTCTGGCCTGGACTCAGCTTACTGTGACATGTTGGAGTAGCTCTGGCTCAACAGCTGAAGCAAAGGGAATTTGGCAAAGAAGGTGTCACGGCTCAGCAAGCTGGGCCTGGCTAGGAGGGCGGCTGTTTCTAGTCCAGGGGGTGTCGGTCAACGGGCCCCTGCTCCTGTCCTGCAGATTACAAATCATGTGATGCCCTCTGGTTCATCACGTGGTAAAAGACAAGAATGACCTCTTAGCTTCTAAAAGCTCTAAACTCTGGGAGCCCCAGTGTCTTGCACAGTGCCAGGCAGATTTGGGCTCCCATTTCAGTGCATCTTGACTACTGTTTGACCCTCAGGAAGTTTCTTCAACCTCTCTGAGCCTTGGGTTCTTCATCTGTAAAATGGGGCTGTAATACCTGCCTCACAGGGTTGTAGACATGGGCACGGGCCTGAGGTTCCTTCCACTCTGTAACTAACTGCTGGTGACCCAAGCTGCTCGTGACAGTTGCACTTGTCCTTTGCTTTGAAAGCCTCCCTGTGGCAGGTCTTCTGGTGACATCCTGAGAGTGGGTTGGTTGGATGCTGCCATATTAATACCTTTTTTAGTTTGCAGTTGCTGGAGATAGGGCCCACGGCCTCACACGGGCTAAGCGAGCACTGTAACACTGAGCTGCAAGCCCAGCCCTTTTGAACCAGGCACGGTGGCGCATGCCTATAATCCCAGTGACTGAGGCAGGAGGATCACAAGTTCAAAGTCAGCCTCAGCAACTTATTGAGGCTCTAAGCAACTCAGCAATATTCTGTCTCTAAATAAAATATAAAAAAGAAAGGGCTAGGGATATGGATCAGTGGTTTAGCATCCCTGGGTTCAATCCCTGGTACTAAATAAATAAATTTATTTCGAGACAAGATCTCACTAAGTTACCCAGACTGGCCTCAAATTTGTTCTCCTTCAGCCTTAGCCTCCCAAGTACAGAATTACTGTGCCACCACCCTACTTTAACACTTTTTTTTGACAACTGCTGATCTCCCCAAGAATCAGGAGGATGCTATTTTCCAGCACATGGTAATTTCCCTTGCTTTTAATTCTCCCATCTTTCTTTTTTTTTTTTTGGGGGGGGGGTGGTGGTGGTACCAGTGATTGAACTCAGGGGAACTTGACCACTGAGCCACATCCCCAGCCTTATTTTGTATTTTATTAGAGACAGGATCCCACTGAGTTGCTTAGTACCTCACTTTTGCTGAGGCTGGCTTTGAATTCGCAATCCTCCTGCCTCAGCCTCCTGAGCTACTGGGATTACAGGCCTGCACCACTGTGCCCAGCAATTCTGCCATCTTCCTGAAAGATTCTGTGTCCTTTTTCAGGGTTCTGGACTGCCAACAGGACTCAGGCCTGAGCCAGGCTCTTGAAGAACAGCCTGGGAGGGAGGCAGGGCAGACGCTGACCACTCCATGGGATTACTGTAGTGTCAGGGTGAGTCCTAGGGGCCGCGGAATCCAGGAGGACACCTGACCCCCAAAGTGCAGGGGAGAAGGAATGGATTGGAGAGGAGGCCTGGGCCAGCTCACAAACAGCTGGGAGCCACACTCGAGCTCTCTGGCCGAAATAGGAGTCCTTAAAAAATAAGTTCCCACCCGCTGCACATAAAGAAAACATGATGATCATAAACACAGAACCAATGTGGGCCTTTATGCAGGGAAGATGAGGCTGAGCCTCCTGGGAGGATGATATGGGGGAGGGTCAATGGGAAGCCTACACCACCCAGCCCCGTACGGATCTGAGCCGTAGTGAGGCTGTGATGGGGCTGAGGACAGATAATTTGGAAAGTAGAATGGCCAGGATTCAAGACTGCTCGTAGGGGATGAGGGGAGCCAATGGACACCATGTACATTTGTGACCAGCCAGATGACCGTACCTGGCTGGGAACCCTGTAGGTAAGTTTGGACCTGCTGAGTTTGAGGTCTCTATAGGGTCCCTGAGTCAGGGACTTGGTATGGGAGTCACCAGTGAGGAAGGCAGAATGATGAGGTCCATTGTGGCAGGTGGAGGGGAGGGGACTAGCCTGGGGTCACATAACCAGCAGGGACTGCCAGAGAGGAGCTGGCACTACCAGGGTGGGCTTGCACCAGACCAACCTGGCCCCGGGGCCTCTCCGCGTGCTCCACCTCGGCTAACAACCGAAGGAAAACCTCAAACCTCGCCAACTGGGAGTCTCAGTGCAGCTGGTTTTTATTATTAAAGCCAAGGTCGGAAAATGGCTGTGCCCCCTCCCCAGCCCCCCACCCTCCAGATCTGTCCGTCACATTGTGTGAAGGTGAAAACTAGATTTGTCTTGAAGAACTCAGAAATGCTCATGCCGGAATGAGAAATGAGGACAAATGAAGTAGGCTCAGATGGTGGTCTGTGTCGGCTCCACCCAGGATTCCTGGAAAAGACGGCTTGGGGTGGGGCTGCAGCCCCTGCTCACAGTGCTGTTCCCGAGGGTCCAGGGTGGGCATCAGGAACGAAGGCAACGGAAGAGGCTGAGCTGGCCCCCGTACTCTACCCTGCTGAAACTGGGCCACAGGCTGGTTTTTGTAAAAATGGTTAAAAAAAAACCCCAAAAACAAAAACAAAACCCCAGCCATGAGCACCACCCTCCCCTGAGCAGGGCAAGAGGAGGCGCCAGCTCTGGGCTTTGAGGTCTGAGGCACGTGGCCTCCTGGTCTGGCGTCACCTCCCTGGAGGCAGGCAGCACCCTGAGGGAGGCCAGGCAGGATCCTGGGCCCCTGTGTGGCCTTCGGTGGCCTCCGGGGTCCCTAGAGAGCTTCAAGATGGCTGTCTCCCCTCCTCCCCCAGTGAACTTGCAGGCTCTAGGCCTCAGGGACCCTGTGTAACTTTTGCTCTTTGGATTCCAAAGATCTGAACTTCTCCTCCAGCACGGCGGTGGCGGGCTGGAAGTGGATGACAGGCTTGATCTGAAAGACAGTGAAGCCCTCCTGGTTCTTCCGGTTGAACAGACTTACCCTGTGCTCCAGCTCAGGGCTGGCGTGGGCCGAGCCGGCTGGGCTGGGCCGGGCCAGGGGGGCTGGGTCCAAGGCCCTCTGGGACGGGCAGGGGTCCTCTGACAGGGAGGACAGCAGGTCCCGCACCGTGGCCTCTGCCATCTGCGGCTGGGGTGGGGGCGGCAGTGGCAGGGAAGAGGGGCCGGGCTCAGAGGATGGCTCTTCTCGGGCGGTGCTGCAGTCTGTGGAGGAGCCCAGGGTCTGGCTGCTGTCGCTCTGGGCCCAGGTGACTGAGCTGTGGGTGGCACCCTCCGAGGTGGCACTGGCACAGGTGCCGTTGCCACCGAGCTTCAGGGGCACATCAACTGAGAAGAGGTCTGAGGAGATGTTGGGCTGGTGGATGTCGATGGCCGCCGTGGTGACCACACACACAGCTGGTTCTGGGACCCCGCTGTCTGCAAGGAAGGAGGCAATGTCGGTCACACCTCGCCTTTGGCCATGCCTCGCCCAGTCCTGGTGTGAGTGGGGCTATCAGTGGGGTTGGTGGGGTGGGCAGTGAGTGTGGGCAGCCTATGGGGGGCAGCCTTCAAGGAGGGAGGCCTCAGGGGAGCCCCGGTTCCTGGTCATTCTTCACTGCCGCTCATCTTGTTGAATTCAGGTGCAGATATGTGACATATTTTGATGTCATCCATGAGAAGTGACTTGTGGCACTTCTGAGTGAAAGTTTTATGAGCCAGTATCCTAGAGTCAATGGTGGCTGCTGGGCAAAATGACCTGGGAGCAGAGCCTGAGGCTACTTGCCTTGGGCCATTGGTGCTTTATTTGAGCCACCCAGGGGCAGGGGCATTTGTTACACTAACCTAACCCAGTCCCTCTTAACTCAGAGAGCACCACGTGCCTGGACAAGGGGCATGGATTTCTCAGTCTGCAGAATCACTGGATGTTTTTGAGACCAGCGTGGGGAGTGGGGAGTGGCCCGATCAGCCTTGGCCTGCAGAAGATTGGCTGGTCTGTCAGGAAGCATGGCAGGGGCAGGGGACACTCCTCAGCTCTGCTCGGGGTGACACAAATCAGGGGCTAAACTGCAGTGAGGGTAGGGAGGGAAGATGGGGAGAGGGGTCTGGACTAGAGACTGATGGTCTTTGAAACCAGCAGTTTGGATGAGGCTTGGAGAAGAGGAAAAAGGTCTTTAGGAGCCGAATGATAGAAAAGAAAAAATTCAAATACATCATACATTGTGCAACTTAATATTCTATCTCTACAATGGGCATGCAAGGATTTAGGGGCTGTGAATTCCAAACTTGGGGTTTAAGGTGTTGGCAAAAAGGAAACAAGATGCCAAAGGACAAGGTATTGTTTTAATGCCTTGTCCAATCTCTCCCGTAAGTAAAACCCACTAGGCTTCCCTGAGACTTTACGGTAAGAAGGAAACAATCCGAGGCCTGTTGCCCCTCGGCCCAGGCCCGTGGCCTGAGCTCCCCTCCACCTGGCTCACCTGAGGGGGTTTCAGGACGGGGGGAGCCCATCTGGATCTCACCCCCCTTTCATTGCAAGGCTCCATTGCAGCTTTCATGGGTCAGTGATCACAAAACACCCCACTCCAGCACCTGCAGGCTCAGCCCGTGGCCACCCCAGCTCCGGCCCTGGAGTCTGCTGCCATCTCTGAAGCAGGACTAAGTTGTGCCGGCCCTCAGGTGTGGGGGTGAGGGGGTCGCAGGGACCTGGGGCTGCACAGCGGTTCATGCAGAACAGCTCCATCCCAGACTCACCGCTGCTGGGCCCATTGTAGTACTGACTGATGTAGCTGTTCATGTCGTCCTTCACAGCGGCTTCTGTGGAGTGGGAACAGAGAAGAGTGCGTGGGGTGGCTTTCAGAGTCCAAGAGACCAGGACTGTGGCAAGTTCATGCTTCACCTCGACCTCCTGTCTGTACACCTATGGCCACGAGAAGAGGCACCTGTCTCTCAGAAGCCCTGCCTAGGTGGCATGGAAGCCTCCTTGTTCGGCACAGAGCAATGTCTCAGAGTCCCAGATTTGGGCTGTACCAGGAACCAGGGGACCCAGGTTCTGATGCATTATGTACCTTGATACCTGACCTGGACAGACCTTTTCTCTCCCTGTCCCCCATCTCTGAGATGAGTGGTGTGGCAATAATTCCTCAAGACTTTTCCTGTCTAGATGCCCTCAGTGTCTAAATCCACCTGAAGTTCTCAGGGTCACCAGAACCGCTGGCCTCAATGCAGGAGACCCAAGATGCTGTTGGCAGGAACACACAGCCAGCTACAGGACTGAGTATCCCTGATGACAGTCCCCCTGGGCTCAGTCCATCTGAGGCCTCTAGTCTTCCATGCCATTAACCCTGGGGGACAGTGCTGGGGATCCCTGCTCAGTTCCTATTCTGTGTAATGTTGAGAAGGCTATTTAGTGGCTGAAGGCTGACTGGGTCAAGGGAGATGACATGAAACAGGGTCTTAAAAAAAACATCAGTTCATTGTCCTGAGAGGAGTGAGGAGAGAAGGTAGGTGATTCCCAGAGTGGCCTGAGAGCAGGAGGAAACAATGGGTCATGGGAGACCTCCAAGGCCATCCTGAGGAGCTTGGTCTGACCTAGTGAGGAGCCCCAGGAAGGTTTGAACATGGCCAGGTGGGATTTGGAGGGGTCACTCCTAAGATTGTAGGGACAGTGTCTGGAAGGGGACAGCCTTCAGGCAGGGAACAAGAGGTGCAACACCCCAGGGGGGTGACAGGCCCTGAGGGTGGGCAGTGCCTCATGGGACAGGCAGGGACAGAGTCGAGTGATAACAAGAGAATCCTGGCAGGGGTTAGAGAGTGATGGGATAGGACCTCGGTGCAGACGGGCAACCTGTCAGGCTGGGATTGCCCACTCCACACCCCAGCTCCACCGTGAGTCTATGAGCCTCGGTCTCTTGCCTATAAAATGGGGACGGCGACACCTAGTTTCCTGAGTTGTTATGGAGATGAAAGGAGCTAACCCTGAGTCAGGTTTCTAGAGTGGGGCCAAGCCTTGCTCCTCCAGGCAGTCCAGAGCCCGAGACCACACCCGCGGGGCTTCTAGGAGGAAGACGTGATGCTCCTGAGGCCGCCCTGCCGGCCACACCCGAGTTAGCTGCAGAAGCCCATCTGCCCTCACACAAGGAGGCCGAGAGACAGCACAAGCAGAGGCCTGGCTCTTAAAAGCTTTTTTGGCCTCTTTTATCTTTCAATGCCTGCGGTCAGAGGTGTGTCTACAGTAATGCGGGATCTGAGGGTGTGGCTGGGGATGGCTCCAGGCCCCTCCAGCATTAGCCGGCAAGAACGTTTGCTGTAAATGCTGTCTGGCCCTGCTGGCTGCCCTGGGAAGCTGGAGGTGGCTGGCATGGCTGCTGTCATTCAAGCAGTAGAGGTAAAGGACCACCAGGCCCGCGGGCCAGGCAGGAGGACCTCACTCTAGTTGTGTCCTGGTGCTGCCAGGTCACATTCCCTCTCCAGGCCTTAGTTTCTTCATCTGCACCTCGAAGGTACTAGGGAGGCTCCTACAGATTATGATGTAGCCGTGTCAGATGGCTCTGAAGCTCTAAGAGGTGACACAGCAGAGGGGGAAGGGGCCGGAGGCAACTAGGCCATCCCCTTGACCCCCAGTGCAGGATCACCTCAGAGCCGAGGCTGCCCCCCACAGCCACAGGCCTCTGGGGAGCAGCGCCTACATTTGCTGGGCAGCTCTGATGACAGACTGTTGGGCAGCCTCTCCTTCGTTTGTGCCCATTGGGGCCGCAGTGGGCCCTCTGCCAGGTGTTATTGAGGCCAGGAGTCCTGCCTCCAGGGAACATAGTTGGAGCCCACAGGGCGTCCACTCCTTGGTGGAGCAGCCAATCTCCATTTCATCAGGAAGTGCCTACTATGTGCAAAGCTTGAAGAGCCTGCTTCTGCCTTCCCCACTGGTACCAAGGAGAAGCTGGGGCTTCTAGACAACAGACCTTCCAGCTCTTACAGGCCCCTCAGGCCCATCCTGAGCAGTGTCCTCTGCGGGTAGCCCCTGCCCAGCTCTGGCCCTCCCTACTTTCCAGCCTTTCCACACTGAATGCTTCTCTGTGGGTTCCAGATGGGTACAGAGGCGGGGAGGAGGCAGGAAGGGAGCCCCAGTCCTGATCAGTGCTGCACACGCTCATTTTGACCCCTAGCAGGGCCCTGCCTGATGCGGACTATTGAACAGACTGGTCTGGTGCCATCATCCCCCCCAACATCCTCTGTGTGTTGAGCAACCACCCTCTCTACTGACTCACACGGAGCTTGGCTAGCATGGATGCCCAGGTCTCCTCTGAGGAGTGGGAGCCAGGCCAGGCCTCACCGCCCCCCACCAGGGCTTTGCATCCACTATCCCAGGTAAAGGTGGGCAAAGGTGGGTGTGTCCGTCTCAGCACTGAGGTGCAGCTTGCTGGAAGCATTCTGAGTGTGGGTTCAGCCTGCTGAGTCTCTGACCCCTCTCCCATACATATTTGAGGATGCTCACATCTTAATCCAAGTAAAGATAACCTGAGCCTGGTGACCTCCAGACCAGACCTTTTTTTAAAATTTTTAAAAAATCGTAGATGGGCACAATACCTGTATTTATTCATTTATTTGATGCTAAGGATCAAACCCAGTGCCTCACACGAGCTAGGCAAGCGCTCAACAACTGAGCCCCAGCCCCCAGACCTCTCTTTTGAGCTTACACTGGTCTGCCTGGTCCCCAGGCAACTTCTCCTGAATGGCCTCCAGCTGCCTCTAACTCAACAGGTCCAAAATTGAACCCAGCTTCTCCCTCCCCTCCAGCATCCTTCGCCTTGGTGACTTAGTTCCTCTGCCCACCTGCGGTGGGATCCTGGTCACTTCTCTGTGCCTCCTTTCTTTCTTTACCAACACCCTGACTCCCACTAAGTCGTGGCCAGTCAAGGGACCCCTGAACCCTCTGCTGCAGCCCTGTGTCCAGCCTTAAGTGAGACCTCGCATTTTCCCCTTTGGGCTCTTGCCCTACGTGGGTTTGATGAATGGGATCACTCACTCATTACAGGTGTCTGACAAAGAGCCTGGGCCCCAGGTGGCCACAGAAACTCTGACCAGTATGCACTTTCTCCCCCTGCCCTCACTCCCTCTGATCCAGACCTGAGTCACAGTCTGGGAGGGGGCCTGTCCTGACATCCCTGGGAGTGCTGACACAGGCCTCATCTGCCCTCTGCTTCACACTGGCCCCCAGATTCTCACCTCCCAGAACTGACTCCTTGGGCTGGGGTTCTTCTGCGCCCCCACAGGGGTCTCAGGAGTCACACTTTACTCAGATTCCCTGTCACTCAGTCTGGGGTTTGGCATATGACAGGTGCTGATGGCAGCCTGGACAGAAGGCTGTGGCTGAGTCAGAGGCCTGTAAGACTCCCTAGCCTCCCTGGCCCCACTCCAAGATGCCACAGGGCCACTGTGGGATGCTGTCTGCACTGGTCAGCCTGCAGCCTCACCCCTCCCCACACTTTCTACTGAGAGACCCACAAGTGCTGGGTGTCTGGCAGCCTGGGAGACAGGACGGGAGGGGAGGCAGGTGCAGCCAGCCTCACAGAGCTGCCCTCTTCCACCTAAGCTCCTGCCGCAGGTTTTGTTTGGATTCAACGAAACAGCCCGGGCACCAGCTCCAGCTCAGCAGGCACTTGCTCTGTGGCCTTAGGCAAATCCCTAGGACCAGCTTCCTCACTCATAAAATGGGAATAGCAAATACTTAGCTGCGGGTGCCCTGTAAAGATCCCAAGATGACAGTGGATCCAGAAGCTGAGGCAGGAGGATCACCAGTTCAAAGCCAGCCTCAGCAACTTATTGAGACCCTAAGCAACTTAGCAAGACCCTGTCTCAAATAAAATACTGAAAAAGGGGCTGGGGATACGGCTCAGTGGTTAAGCGCCCTGAGTTCAAAAAAACCAAAAACAAAAACCCGAGATGATGCGTGTCTAGCGGCCACAGTGCTTACCGCTGGCCCAAAGTCTCTGGTGGCTTCTGTGGCTGCTGCTCTCCGCCGCCTGGCGCCTTTCTTCTGGGGTGTGAGCACTTTCAAACCCACCTGACTAATCCTCCGAAAGCCCTTGGAGTGTGAGGTGCCAACACTCATTACGTGGGTTTTACTCCTTCAGCAGCCCCAACCTACTATTGAGGCAGAGAGGGCTGGTGAGTCAGCTGGGCCAGGTTTCTGGAGGCGACAGAACCAGCCGTGCCTCACGTGCTCTGGGTGACAGAGTGGCAGGAGGTACCTGAGCTCACATCCTCTGAAGACCCATGCCCCCAAGACCCGGGGGAAGCCCTGATTCCTGGTATGGGGTTCTGAGTTTGCTGGCTTCTCAGCCCTCACTGAAGGGGACACTACACACTGAACACCTACTGTATACCAAGCATGAAAGCTAAGCACAGGATGGAATGCCCAACCCTCCTCAGCGAAAAGACGCTGCTGCTGTCCTCATTCTGGGAAAGTTGGGGCTCAGAGGCAGGACCAGCCACATAATTTATAGGCCTCTCATTCAAAAAGTATTAAGAATTTCAAGAGGGCGACAGTAGAGCATCAAACCAAGCTCAGGTCCCTGTGTGATCATGCAGATCACGTCCATGAAGCCGACTCAGCTCAGAGGTCAAAGAACTTCTTCAAGGCCAAGTTGAGACTCAGCCTGGACCTGAGTCCTGAACCATGTCCACAATTGCTTCAAATACTACTCTGTGAGGCTCTCTCAGCTCTAGTGCTACAGATCTGGGGCTCCCTGGGACCCCAGTGCCCCCATCAGGCATACACACTTGGGGGCCAATAGAGGCACCTAGGAGTACACAGGTCCTGTCCTCTCCACAGGTAAACCCTGGAGCCAGCTCAGCTCTCTGCCCACTGCTCTTGTGGGGGGGAGGTGCAGCCAGGGCTGGCCGGAGGCAACTCTGTGGCAGTTTCCCTGGACGCTGGCGCAGTGTAGGGGGAGACGCCAAGGTCTGCTCGCTGTGATATATGGTGAAATCTGTGGCACTCCTACCAGGGGCTGTAATTCATAAGTTATGGGCGAGCTTCAAGACTAATAAATTTGGGAGAGAAGTATTAATGACTATACAGGGGCACTGTGAACTTGGCAGGCCCCAAAGCCTGGAACTTTGCAGCCCAGGTTTTAAAAATGATTTGTGCTACAGCAAGTCTAAACAGAAGCCCGGTCCGCGTTGTCTGACTGTGACCTGCTGGCAATTGTTGAGACTGTAGAAGCCACTTCCTCCTCTCCAGGCTGAAGCTGCTGCTGGGGCCAGCACCCCCACCCTCCCGGGGAGCAACAGCCTCACAGGGGAGGCGCTGGCCCCCTCCCAAGGTTCCTGTGACTCATCGCTCATGTCTGCAGGTTAATGTCCAGATCCCGTGTCCTATTGTGAATGCAGCAGGTCTCAGAGCCCTACTGGCCTGAAGGTCATGGAAGGCAACAAACGCTGCCCTTTCTTAATCTCCAGAGTGGCCCAGAATGCCCCCAGTTTGTCCAACCATAATTTCTAATGACCTAAAAATCCCTCCCTGAACACAGCTCCTGGTCAGAGAGTGCTCAGCTAGGGGATGCCCTGGGCCACTTAAGGCTGTGAATCCTTCATGCCTCCCATCCACCCCCACGTTCTGTCCTCAGGCTTAGAGGCATAGGCTGTGCTATTGAGGGCTCTGGGAATTGGCTGTGAAGTGGTAGATAGGGAATGCATTACGTGGCTGCATAGATGGGCATGTGCAGGGCAGGTGAGCACCTGTGGAGCAGGAGGTGCCCAGGTGATGTTGCATAGGAGGTACCAGGCAGCCGGGGTGGGGTTCCAGGGCTGGGCAGGAGGAACATTTGCAATTGCTCCCAGGGGTGCATGTTGGGTCCCTCTACGGGGAGCCTGAGCCTGCTTATTTGGAATTCTTCCCCAGTGCTTAGGAGGGTGAGAGGTGAGCACAGACCCCATGACACCTGGCTAATGACATGCACCCCAAAAAGTTGACCCTTGGGCCTGCCCCTGCCTCCCTCTTCCTCCTGGAAGTTGCCACTATGTGGGCTGCTGACAGGAGGAGCAGGATGGACAGTGACTCAGAGCTTTGTTGCACTGCTAGAATGTGTGGTGGGATTTGAAAGACTTCATGTGTTTGGACCCAACTGTGGTCTCCAGTGTCCAGCATCTGCAGGCCACTGACTAAGGGACAACAATCCCACTCTCATCTTCAGAGCCAAGAGCTCTGATGAGAGAGACGATAAGGAGGCACTGGGGAGGGCAGAAGTGTTCAGACCTGCCTCAGGGAACTGGGCAGGCCCAAGCCCCCGCGAGCCTCGGCAGTGAGGGTTCAGCAGGGACAGCGGCACAGCAGCCTCTCACTCACTTTGCTCCACCAGGGAGGAAAATCCAGGATGGGTCTCATGACTGCAAATCAGCCCCTTCTTTTCTGTGGAAGCCAGACCAAGGGGACAAAAGTTGTTGCTCTTTTCCAGAAGAACTTTCAAGAAAGTTCTTCCCTTCCTTAGGAAGAGAGCAGGGGGAAGTGGCACATGGCTGAGGAAGGGGGATTGCAAGTTTGAGGCTACCCTCTGCAGCTTAGCAAGGCCCTAAGCAACTTAGTGAGACTCTGGCTCAAAAAATCAAAAGGACTGGGGATGTAACTCAGTGGTAGAGTGCCCCTGGGTTCAATGCCCAGTATCAAAAAGAAAAAGATGGTGGTTTCCACATGCCTCAGCTTGGGGAGCCAAGAGTTCGGAGTTTGGGGTCTCTGGGTGTGGACTGTGTGGCAGCCACTGAGCACCAAGAAAGCTGAGCTGCAGGGACCCAGAGGGGATGAAGCCAGAGCCCTGCTTGGTTCAGTTATAGATTGGTAGACTCCATTCAGTCTATTTGAAGAGCTGCTGAGGCTCAGGCCTGGAGGAGCCCTGGAGACACAGGAGCCAGACAGATAGACAAACAGGGCAGCCCTGCATGGGGCCTAGTAGGAGTTGATGTGAGGTCCCGAGGGCTGGGTGTGGTGACCCAGGAGCACACAGAGTTGGGTTCCAAGGATGAGAAGTTTGGCACAGTCCAGGCCATCCACTGAACAGTGTGTGGAAAGACTCAGAACAGACAGAGGCTCCTGGGTGAAAGCCAAGATGGGGCGAAGGAGATGAGGTTGGGGATCAGCAGGGGTCTCCTGCCACCTATTAGGGGATGAACTACTGTGTTCCTCCCAAATTCATGATGTTGAAGTCTTCAACTCTAGTACTGGAAGGTGATCTTATTTGAAATCAAGGTGGCTGCATGTGTAAATAGTCAATAGGAGATCATACTGGAGTAGGTAGCCCCGATCCAACGTGAATGGGGCCTTTACAAAAAGAGGAAATCTGGACACAGACACACAGGGAGAACGCCATGTGCAGATAGAGATTGGGTGATGCTCCTACAAGCCAAGAAGGGCCAAGGAGTGCCAGCCACCACCAGAAGTTCGGGAATCACCTAGGAACCGGCTCTCTGTTGCGGCACTGAGAGGAACCAACCCTGCCAACCCCTGTTCTCAGACTTCTGGTTTCCAGGACCATGAAACAACTTTCTGCTATTAAGACACCTAGGTGATGGCATTTTGTTATAGGGGTTCCAGAAAACCAATATACCACCCTAAAGGACTTGGGTGTTTTCCTGAGGGACACAGGGAACCAGTCAAGGGTGTCAAGGCATGAAGTATTTTGGGAAGATGGCTGTACAGTGAGGAGAAGGGACTGCAGAAGGCACCTAGGGGACAAAGCTGAGATCAGGAAGCCTTGCAAGGTCCAGAAATGGTGAGGACTGAGTAGTGAAGATGAAGAAGGGAACATTTCAAGGTATATGTAGGAAGTAAACCCAGCAGGTACTGGTGATGGGCTGTGAATCCCATCTACCGGGCCCTGGAGTGAAGGCAGGACTTGACAAGCTATGGCGGAACCCAGATGAATGTCCAGTTCAGCATGGGAATATGAACAGCCAGTTGCTCGCGGGTGGGCTGCAGGGAGGGGGGCTCAGCAGAGCTATGTGTGGAGAGCGTGAAGCCTGGGTCTGCTGGGAGCTCAGGCCAGGGAATCAGCACAAGGCTCAGGAGCCTTTGGACTTCATCTGGGAGTCTGGGGTCCAGAACAAAAAAGCAGGAATGGCCCCTCATTACTGCCCAGGCCTTGGAGCTCCCAACAGCTGCCTCAGTTCTGGATGTTACTCTGGAGAGCCCAGGGCAGGGAGAGTGAGCAAGAACCTGGAGAGTCTGTGCCCTGAGGACTGGCTGTGAGGATGCAGGTGACCATCCCCGGAGGGGAAAATAGTCTGTGAAAGGATGTCGCACCTGGGAGGGCACCTCTCTGTGCATAAAAACCACGTCCACGAGGGGAAGGCATGTGGGGGACAGGCCTCAGCTCTGTCTCAGGAAGCAGGTCTTAGAGCCATTTAAAGGGGGGTGGGCTGCTCAGGGAGGTGCTAAGTACCTCTTAGAGAAGGGTGAGCTGGGGCCTCATGGCCTCTTGGGGGAGTTAGAGATGGGCTTCTCTAACTAGTTTCAGCAGTCCCTTCTGGCCCCCAAATTCTGTGGTTCTAAGATCTGAAAATTTATCAGAACATCATATAGCAAGCTCATTGCCCACACCCGTTCTCAGCAGTATCAGCCCACAGAGCTTCCTCCCAGCCACCAGTTCCTCATACTTTCTGTGAGGCGGACAGAGCTGGAGCTGAGTCCACTTCATGGAAGGAGCACTGAAGCCTCAAGTCATGGGACTGGGGAGTGGCAGAGCCCATCCACAACCTGCTCATTGCTCCAGCAAGGGGACATGGCATGCCAAGGCGAAGTCACCACCAGACACTGCATCAAACTGGGGTTTTGGGTTCTGCAATCCAAGTTCCAAACCCAGTTCTACCATTTCCTGGATACAAGGCCCTGAGTACACCTTTCAACCACCCCATGAGGAAGGCTCACTTTGTTCCCATTCGACAGCTGGCCAAACCAAGGTGCATAAAGGTTAAATCCCTGCCCAACGCCACACAGCTGGCTGACAGAAAACCTGGGATTTGGATCTAGAAACATCTCATTTCTCTACAATGCCCTACCCTGGTGTGGCCCCGGTTCCCATTTCCACCCACATTGTGGCCATAAATTTGCTACTATCTGCAAAGCTTAGGTGCTGGGCTGTTCTGGCCCCAGGACTGGACTTCTTAGCTGGGCCCTGGTAGGTGGCAGTACAATAGGAAAGTCCCAGGCATCTTGGCTCCACCTTCTTCATGACGTGTCTTTGGATGGCTTCCCTGTGTCTCCATCTCTTCCTCCGTAAAACAGGGAAGTCATGCCTCCCCTGTCACTTGCAGTGTGAGCCGCAAAAAGCCTCAAAGAGCGGCCTGTGCTGCTGGAGCACGCATCCAGTACAAGTCTCTAAGATCATTTTCTAGTTTGGATCAGGGTCACTTGACTAAGTGCTCTGTCCTAGACTTGGAAAGGTACTCTTGAGGGCACTGATCTGACGGTGCCTCCCAACCACAGGCAGAGGAGGGGGCGCAGTCCTGCAAGGAGCTCCACTGAGCCCCAGCATCTATGCGCAGAATGGGGGGCGGGGCCGGGTGGGAGCGAGGCAGGAAACGCCCTGAGACTCTGGGGACCCGGAACTCACCTTGCGAGGGCCGCAGCTCCTCCACGACGCTCTCCGCGGCTGTCTCCTCGTCCCACGTGCCGGCCTCCACCACCTTGTAACGACTGCGGGGCTGGCTGAGCACGTGCGGAGCCTGCAGTGCAGCCTCGCGCTCCGCCGCCAGATCCAGGTCCTGCTGCGCCAGGTGTGCCCGCAGTTGCCGAATCTCAAACTGCAAGAGGCAGAAGGGCTGGGCTGGGTGTGCCTGCAGAGGCAGGGGAGGAACAGGGACCTGTACCCTGACACTTTACTCCTGAATGGGGGACCTAGGCCGGAGGAGAGGGCTGAGCATCCAAAGGCTGGATGCTGTGTGCTCCGAAGAAATATCCCAACAATGAGAGTTTCTTGTGTTTATGGAACCTTTTCCAGGTAGTAAGGTGTGATCCTGAGTCTCAGATACAGCATCGCGGGACCCCACTGTGAGGCCATGAGAAGAAACACAACCGTGGTTTGTGGGAAGACCCCTCGATGGGGAGTCAGGAAACTTGGGTTTCAATCTGGTGCTAGCTGCTTGCCCAGATGTACCACTCTCAGGGGTGTTTGACAAAATGAGAACCTTCGCCAGGTGCCTTGTACTGACAGGAGACCCAGGGCCCATGCAACCAGCCCATCTTGGTATCACATGCCTGCTTGTCCATCCAATGGCTTCCCTTTCAGCAACATCACTTCCCTCTCCCATGAGGTGTTGGGGAGGATCCTCAGGCAGACAGGATTGGGCAGTGGTCCCTAGCCCTGTGGATGTGGTCTTAGTAATTTCCTTCACCTTCCCCAGTCTTGGTTTCCTTGTGTGTAAATGGAGTCTTCACCTGAGGACTTTAGCTGCTTCGTAAGGGTTTTGTAAAAAAAAAAAAAAAAAAAAAAAAAAAAACTACACATTTTAATTTTGATTTCTTTCTTTATTTATTTTTGCTGGGGAGAGCTTCTTAGAAAGGCTTCCAGATTCCCCTTGGGTTTGTGGCTGGGATGGCTATTCACACTCCCAGCCTTCTCAGGACTTCTGGGTGGAGGTGGGCTGACACTAAAGAGCCTTTACTGCCACCTAGTGTCCTGGGCTCCCATTGAGTTGCCTCTGTGCAGTGAGAATGGGCAGGAGGGAGGGGACTAGCAGAGTCCAGGGTGAGGTTCCTTCCCTAGAAGTTTCTCTAATTGCCACTCATGCCCAAAAGCATTTTTCAAGCTCTGAACCGCCACCCCCAACCCCACCGGACTCTGGAATATCAGACTCACACCTTCAGCAACCTATGTGGCTGCACCATGTAGCAGTTCACAGGAGTTGCAAACTCAACCTGGCCAAAATAGGACTCCACTTTCCCCGCAAACCTGCTCCTCGGGTGTTTTAATCTTATGTTAGTTGGAGTCAGTGTCCGGTCTGCTCCCCAAACCCAGCTCCACCTCCAAATGCTATGCCAAGCTGCCCACTCCCCACCTCTCCTGCCAGCTGTCACCTGGCCAGCTACAGCTTCTGCATCCCTCAACTGCCATCTGCAACAGGAGCCACAGGGATTCTGGCAGACCTAAACCACCTCATGACACCTGTCTATAGGTGTCCATGGTTTACCACCTCACTCAGGAGAAAGCCCAATCTCCTCACCCTTGGTTCACAAATCGTGTGCATCATCTGGCTCTCCCCACCTGACCAACTGCATCTCACCTGATCTTCCCTTTCTCTGCCCCCACCACACAACCTTCTCATTGTTCCACGTGACACCAAACACAGGTGGTCTCAGGTCTCTTCCCCAGCTGCTCCCCTAATCCAGATCACCTGGCCAACTCAGAAAGTCCTCAGAGGACTTTCCCTGACTCTCATACCACATCCACCCAGGCACTCAGTCACATCAGCCTATGTGATTCTCTACATTTCATTTACCACATTCTGATGATTTTGTGTGTTTACTTATTTATTTTAATATCTTTATTCCATTCATTCATTTTTATGTGGTGCTGAGGATCAAACCCAGGGCCCTGCACGTGCTAGGTGAGTGCTCTATGGCTTGAGCCACAACCCCAACTTAATTACTTTTATTTTTATGAAAGTAGAATATACACATAACTTAGCATTTACTAACCCTATGGTGGCCAGGCAACAAACCAGCATTGGACACTGTCAGTGTCTGTGTGTTTTGGTCTTTGTGACCACTTGGGCTTTCCAGAATTCTCCAGCCTCTTGCCTGGGGATATTCTTCTGTTTGCCTCTGGGCTGGGAGCAGGGCAGGAAAGCAGGCAGAAGGTCACTACTCTAGGGGAAGGAGGCTCAGCCTTGCACCTTTCCCCAGACCCCCGCCTCACCCACTGCCTGTGTGTAGAGCCTCCTGGTTCAGTTTCTCCAGAGGGCAAACCTCCTGACTCTTGCAGGGTGGGGCATAGTCTCCTGGTCCTTTAGGATGTGGAAGGGGTTCTTAGGGATTTTTAAAACTGTATGTGAAGAGTTTTAGCCAATCCCCTGCCTGGTGTCGATTCATACCACATCGCCCTCCTCCTAGAGCCTCAGGGTTTTACGGGGAGAATTATTCCTTTCCCCTCACCACCCTCCTTTGTAGGCACATTAATTATAAATTCTCCATTTTGCTAGATCAGTTACACTTTCTTATCTATTTTCCACCTTCCTAAATCCCCTGAAATCTCTCTCCTTTTTCTCCTGGTGGACAAAACTTAAAGAGACAGTTTACTTTTTATGCCTTTTCCACTTTCACTATCATTTTAGTGAAAAGACAGTGCAAAAAGAAAAAAGAAAGAAAAAAAAACACAGATAACTTTGTGTGGTTCCTCCACATTTTCTGTAATATCTGTTTACCTCTCTTTCACTTCCAGTGGTGTGCTGATAAGAAAAAGAAGAAGAAAGCCTGATTCATTGTGTATGATAATTTTTCAATGTAAATACTCTTGCCATGACCAATTTCAAGTCACTGATATGATGTCATAGGGAATATGGAAGAAATGTACACAAGTAAGGGACAACTCCCCACCACTGACACCCTTCACCGCCCCCCCCCAATAGAGTATAATCTCCAAAACAGCAGGGACCTTGCCTGTGTTGTTGCTTGGTACACAGGAAGCACTGGGTAGATTGGTAAATGAATGAATAAAACTAATTAGTTCGGTTCTGTGGTTTCAGACTGAGCCTAACCCCAGTCACGGCCTGAACACCAATGCTAGCCCAAAGCAGAGACAAAGACTGTGCCCTGACCCTGGCCATGCACTGAGCCCTGATGGTAGTCCCATTCTGAGCCTTCACTTGGATCAGAAACGGAGGCAAATCCTGGTCATAGATTTAGCCCTAACTTTGGTCTCAGACTGGGCTCAGACTCTAGACCTCAACACCCAGCACGCAAATGGAGCTGAAAGTCTCAGAGAAAGTTGGTCTTGGAGTGGTCTTTTGTGCAGGGGGCAAGGGTGTGAGCCACCTCTCTGGCAGCAAGATCTTTTAGAGGTCATGGAAGGTCCATGAGGTAACCCTGCTGAGCTCTGGTGGGGCCAGGAGCCCCTCCTTCTCAGACTGATCTGAACTTCCCATGGGCACACCCAGCCTGCTTTCTCCAAGGCCACACAACTGGGCCTAGAGGCCCTGCTAATGGCTTCCTAGGCCACTCTGAAGGGATGCATTATTGATGGCTTGTAATTGATATGGAGCTGCCCTAGAGAGTCCCCCTGGAATTCAGGCCAGACAGCTGGAGGCCAGGGCTTGCCCAGCCCCAAGCCCACATGTGCACACACTGGTACACACACAGAAACAAGTTTTAAACAAAAGATGTGAACTCCAAGTGTGCAGTAGTTCTCCCATTCATTCATTCACTAAGAGGTCAGGGGAAACCTTGTGCACACCATGTTAGAATTGTTATATATTTTGCAATGAAAATTCCTGTCCCAGCTTGAAGATGGATGACTCTAGCAAGATAGGGGTGAATGTGAAATCTGCTATACCACAGGGAACAAGTCCCCTATGAGAGTCACAAGAGCTGACCCTGGGGTGGTACTTATGACAGAGGAAACATGATATGTACAAGAGACAGATGATCAGCTGGTGGCGGTGGGGGTGGGGGTTGGCAGGTGCCACTGGGCAGAGTGTGTAGCCACAGAGAGATGATTTAAGGTTTCTATCTTTATTTAAAGAGCAAGAAACCACTGGAATCTTTCACACAGAAGGGTGGAGCAGGGGCAGTGTTGGTGCAGTGACCCAAATGAGCAGTTTGAAAGGAATACACAGAGGGGGATGGGTCGGATGAGACCTGGGGGATATGGGATAACACACTGGGGTTACTGCAGTGTCCAGGTCAGAGAGGACCAGATTTGGACTAGGTGGAAACAGTGAAGATGGAGAGAAGAGGAAGACAAGAGAACTATTTAGGAGGTGAGAAAGTCAGCACAGGGCATGAACTGGGGTGGGGATGAGGGAGAGGGTACCTACTTATGATACAGATTTTTATAAGCTTCATATCCAGAGGGTGTGGGGTGAGAGCATCCAGCTCTCACCCTGAGAAAGAATGATTGACTCCTGAGAGGGAAACTGTAGATGGCCAAATGGCTCTCAACCCTGAGATAGGCCAGCGGTCTCAGGATGTTCAAGGGAGACCCTCGAACCTGGCTCCTGACTCCCTCCATACTTAATGTGGCTGCAGGTGCTTCCCCAGCCAACCAAGGGGTAGTCAAAAGGTCCTAGGATGTCGGAGCCTCTTCAGTCAGATGGGCAAATTGAGGCCTGAAAGTGGGAAGGAGTCCCACGTGCTGGGGGAGAGGATGAGGGAAAGGCTAGGACTACCTGGCGCCTCAGCAGCAAGCAGGAAGCAGAGCCCGGGCCTCTGGCTTCCAGGCCCTATGGTGTTGGGTCACAGGTCTTGTAGCCTCATCAGTGAGATGGAAGGGACTCAGCCAGAGTATAGGGCAGCTTGATGGAATCAGGCTCCAGGAAAGAGCAAGGACAAGAGCCAGGGCTGGAGGCAAGAGCCTGAGCTCTTGGCCCATCAGCCCTCCCTCATTCTGACTTTGACTAAGTCCCTTTTCCTCTCTGGGCTTCAATTCACTGTGTGTCCAATAAGAGGAAAGACTAGCGGAGTTCTGAGTCTACAGTGAGCTCTGTCCTAGCTCTGGGACCTGAGCAGGGAGGGATGAAGTGCAGGTGTTAGTTAATCCTGGCTGTTGCCTTTAGGGCCACCCCGCTCCCTGCTGAGATGTCCCACT